AAATTCATCCAAATGTTTCTGATAGTGGTTCTGCAGATGTGGAAAGAAACTAATAAAATATTGATGCCTAGCCGGGGAACCACAGCCTGCTCTATCCCTTGGAATAGACAGACTCTCACAAGCTTTAGATAAAGATAATAGATCAGAATAGGGGAACACGTAAAACTTACAGACTTCCACTAGCTCATATTGTTTATTCAAAAGATGTTCAGATATGAAGTATTTAACTTATCATATTGTACATCCTTCTTATTATGATTTAAGCAGATAAAGAGATAGTATGACACCATGATGACACAATTGCTCATAATCTGAAGATATGACAAATACAATCAAGATAATGAACTAATAGTCAATCACTTAGTGATCATTGATAAATTGAGAATATTATCAGAAGCATAAGATTTGATCACTCCTGAAGTTTCGAGTTTAAGAGACTTCATTATTCCATTGCAATAGAACCGCAAACTATTACACAATCCATGGTTGTTATGGTATTTCATATATTTAGGGCCTAGAAAAGCCAATAACCATAAAGCAGAGATAGTTTAAGGTATTCTAATTTAAAACATGATCTTTCCAAAAATGTATATAACACCATTCAGTGATTCTCTTGGACAAATGGTGAAACATTTCAATGAAGCCACGTTTAATTACCATGAACACTGACCTATAGGACCACCTAAAAAGTGTGTAAATGATGAGATTATATGAATAGAGCTAGTTATAGCTTTGGAACCACTAATCTGCTAGCTCTATCATCCACACAGGCAGCACTGTACGCTCACACACTTTTATCTCAGCAATTAAGATAAAGGGGCAAAAAACTGACCATTAGTAACAGAGACTGATAGCAATATGAGGTCATTTGGAATAAATCAAAGAAAAACATTATGCTTATGTTCATCAGTGTAGAACATTTTATGCTTTCAACAACATTTCCTCTATATGTACATAGATATACAGACCGAATGATACAGCTAAACAGGAAATGTTTAGGTGAATTGGGTATTGCTCTAATCTTCCCAAAGTTACCCCCTCTCATTCTTTCCAAAATAAAAGCATTATAGAAACAGTACATAAAGAGGGCATGGTCCACCAGGAACTCAATGGAAAAATGGTAACGGTGACAATGAATAAAGGACAGAGAAGAAAGAACAAACACTCTCCCAAATTAGCAGATCTATCATTCTATCACCACAGAGCAACCGTTTGATAAATTCACTTCAGTAAATTCCCCAATGAATAAACTCATATTACAAACACCTACAACATGCCCTTGTTTAGTTTTAACAAATAAACTGACTCAACATTTTGGTCGTCATAGGATGAATGATGTCATACTAATACTAAAAACACCAAAAAATTAATTACCGGAAGGCAAAACTGTTTATTTGTTGACTTTATTTAACTGACATACTTTACTACACTGTAAATTTTGATGATGATTAGCTTATTTGTAGTCAAAGCACGAGAGAGTGTTCTGTCTGCTGGCTTACTTTCAAATACCAGCACGTTGAGATCAATGGTGAAATATAAAAATAAATCAACTGTTGAAAAACAATGACCTAGCCACCTAAAATAGAAGGTGCACTGACAGTAACTAGGTGCTTAAACCGCACACTTCCATATGTATATACAGGGTGTCCCAAAATATTTTATTGAGGTAAACATGAAATAGCTCTGGAGTGATGAAAGAGTATCCTTGAAATTTTGGTCATCTGATTCAATTATCATTAACATCTGAGTTTCAGGAAGTTACTTTATTTTTTTTTTATTTAGTTTTAGCGATCACCCATTTTCCATGTTCAGAACTGCATTCAACCTTCTATCAATCATGATAAAGGTCATTTAGAGCATGCCATCTAAAATGTCAAACTTTTCACTTTAATTTAAAAATGAATTGTTAACTGCTAATAAGAAAATGAATTCTCTATATCATGTAATAAAAAGTTTTTATGAAGGAGAAAGATTTATTCTCATTTTATTTGGGTAACTTTGTTTGGGACACCCTGTATATGAGCCAGAGTAGGGACATATTCACAGTCAAAATACTCCAACATACAGTGATGTTTTCAGTATGACTGAAATGTCCCATGGTTTTGTGGTTTTGGATAGAATGGTTATCTCATAGTTGGTGAAGGGTCATTTGATACTATGGCTGTTTGCGCTTGATCATCTGCTGGGATGTTAAAAATGTCTCATTGTTATCAGTAGTGTTTTTCAGTGTTCAGTTTTCACACTTCATTTCTATATTACCCTTTGTTTTTTCCTTAAGAACATCATGTTAAGCTATTCAAACAAAACAAAGATTTTTAAATGTTTGCTAAATGATTGAACTCTACTTATAACTGATTTTACCATATGTTAACAAGTATTCTTTGTCACTTAATGTCACTATATGATTATCGGCCACAAGGCTATTACGAACTCTAAAAAACTAAATATGAAAATGATATGGTACTTGAAATTTTAATGCAATCATTGTTGAATACTAAGGAACTTAAGGGTCCATTGTAAGTGAAGTCTTGGACAAGAATGAATATGTTATACCCATGTTAAAAGTCCATAAACATGAAGTCGTTCCCCAGATGTTTCTGGATTCAGATTGGGTACAAATGTGGGTCCAACCACAGACCCATGGTTCATTGGAGATCCATTGTATTGAACCAAAGTCAATACAGTGCAATATACTCATGTTGAAAGTCTATAGACACAAAGTAGTTCCCCAGATTTATTTGATTCAAAGAGAATGTGTCAGATTATTGTGAAAACGGAATGTAGGTTGCCCTAACCCAGACTCTTGGCAGGGGTGAGAAGTAAATTGCACGAGTCATGATGATCAAATCAACTCATATAACAACCTTTCTTATCACACTTCAAATACAAACTGAAACAACAGACATTCAAACATGAGATAGTTTGATGCCAATGGTGTTTTTCAACAAACATATGGCTCAGTTATAATAGAGGCTGGCAGAGAAGAGAGGGAATGAGAGGGGATGAATGAGAGGGGATGAATGAGAGGGGAGGGAATCATCACAGTCTTCTGTCAACAGTAGCAAAATAGAAAGATGTGCCAAGTACCAAATCATGATAAACCATGACATCTCATTTCTTCTCAGCCATGTTTCTAGTGAAACAGAAAGATGTGTAGAGTACCAGAAACGAAAGACAAGGCATCAACATGCAAAATGTCACCACCTGCCATTTGTTACTGACACTGACCACTGAATACCAACTGCTGAATGCCAACTGAAGTATATCATCCACAAAAAAAACAATATGGCAAACCAGAACAACGGCAACGCCAAAGCGTAGCGAATCCCATCGAACAGAAATGGCTGGCATTTTTACAAACGAATAGCAAATATCATAAAACAACACACCAGAAAGGCCACCATTTTCAAAATGGTTGCTCACTAGCCAAGTTGTCATCAGAAGAAATAATATGCTTTTAAGTAGCCACCTCTAAAATTTTTGAAAAATCGCACACGTACTTGTAAAATAACACACATTAAAATGGTGGCCATTTTTCAAAATGGCCGACTACTCCCCAAAGTTTTATTAGACAATGTGCCATGCTTAAAGTATTCACATATCAAATATGAACAAAATCGCTCCACTACTTTTCGAGTTATAGTAAAATACGTTAAAATGGCGGCCATTTTTCAAAATGGCCACCGTCTACCAAAAGTGTCATTAGAAATAGACAGTGTACCATGCTTATAGTATTCACATACCAAATATGAACAAAATCACTCCACTACTTTTCGAGTTATAGTAAAATACGTTAAAATGGCGGCCATTTTTAAAAAAAAATTTGAAAATGGCCGCCTTCTACCAAAAGTGTCATAGGACAGTGTGCTATGCTTATAGTATTCACATACCAAATATGAACAAAATCGCTCCACTACTTTTCGAGTTATAGTAAAATATGTTAAAATGGCGGCCATTTTTCAAAATGGCCGCCTTCTACCAAAAGTGTCTTTAGACAGTGTGCAATGCTTATAGTATTCACATACCAAATATGAACAAAATCGCTCCACTATTTTTTGAGTTATAGCAAAAATCGTAAAATGACGAGTAAAGGCCGCCATTTTTCAAGATGGCTGCTATGTGCTTCTTTAATATCTACATTTGTAGCATTATTAATGTCCTTTATAATTTTTTTACATTTAAAACATATTGCTATTACAGTTTTACATATTACACCTAAATTACTGTAAAATCGGCACTAAAATGGCCACCATTTTTAAATGAGCGGCCATTTTGAAAATCGGCTTTCGAGCAGAACTTGTACCCCCATAGGATATATGTGTACAAAATATGAACAAAATCGGGCCAACGGTATTTGAGTTATTGCCCAGACGTACGGACAGACGGACGGACGTACGGACGGACGGACGGAGGCGTTCCCTATATCCCTCCGAACTTCGTTCGATGGGATAATAACAATATGGCACAATGTGGTGACATAAAAACCTTTTGAATATCATGAAAAACTATGACATCATTTCTTCTCGGCGAGTTTCTAGTGAAACAGAAAGATGTGACTTGTATCAAAATGTTTGTGAGCACTTCTTCATCCTGCTTGATTTAATCATATGATAAAATGCAGTGAAGGTGCCAACCACAATAATGTCATATATTTGTGTCTCCTGGTTCAATTCCTTGTTCAGCCTTGTTTGTTAAAATAGTTGATCAGCTTCAGAATTGTTCATATTAGAGAAGTTAAGTAACACACATTTGTGAGAACTTGAAAGTGAATGAGTAATAGTATGACCTCCAGGAATTGTTGTCCACCTTTCAATTAGTTTAAAAGGGGACCTAAGTATAACTTTTTTCCTCACACCTTCATACTCAATTGGGCAATTTAATACCAGCGCGGTGAAGATAGTCCATAGGGGACCATCATTTTATACATTTCAAGTGCACATTCTTCAAACCATGCTAGCTTAACCTCCCTATTATGTTACGAAAGGTATACATAGACTTACCTAGGGTATGTAGTTCAGTAAAATTCACTCTAAGATTGGTCAGTTTGAGAAGATTCTGTACTTTCTGTGTGTAGGGGTCTTTAATCTCTAGAGATGGGGGAAGAACACGGAATACAACCTACAACATAATTTAACAGTCAAGATTTGGGAGTTTCATTCTATATATTACTACTGACATGTAAATATAAATGAGCTCCTTAAGTCCTTAGTGATATAAAACATACAAGTGTTGAGTTATAACTGAATCAAAGATGTTCTTTCATTTATATGTAAGTGAATATAATTTTCTAGGACAATTGTCTGCAGGATTTCATATAGTGAAAAACCAAGGTGTTTTACATATGATTTCCAAGAAATAATCACTGACTCAATCCTTTCATTTTTCTACAAGTAAAAAGAAATTTGATAACAGTATACCCCTTAAAGATAACTGTATCTGTTCTCAATGAAATAAACAAACACAATACATGTAGGTAAACAACACATGTGTATGCCCCTGGACATAGATACCAAGGTAATGCTATCTCCCAAAGTGTGTAAGTCTCCTTTGTAAGGGTCAACATAGATGAATAGGGGTGAAAACCATTGGAAGGCGATAATAAAGGCAAAAGTGGGCTAACTCCAGGCTATTTTTTTTTCTTTGGCAGATGATGGATAGACACTTGGCCATACCCTTAGGAAAACATAGAACTTTAACATTGTGCTTTGCTTTTACTGTACCAATCTTATATATACATGCATACTATTTCATTATTTCAGCACAGGTTCATTTTCAACACAAGTGTAGAATTAAATCTAAGCAGAAATGTTTCATTGTATTTCTGACTCCATTCCTGAGGACTATGTTGGTCTGATAATGAAAGCATGTGAAATATTATAAAACATCTGAAATAATTAGAGAAATCAAGAGGAAACAAACAAAAAACAAAGTAACATGAAAAGGTGTAAGGGGAAAAGTAACGGTTGTTACAGATACTGATACTGCCTAGTCGTAAAAAGTGGGTTTATCAATATGTTACTTCTCCTTAGTAATGACAAAAACCAACATCTGACAAATAATAGAACAAATGATCAAAACAATGAGTTTCAACACACAAAAACTTATGCATAATGATAATTTAATAGCTGAAAAATAAACACATTTATCTTTAAGCATGTCTACTTTACCGGGTTAATGATTAATGTTCATATTGTGAACCCAATTTTAGAAAATACTCATTTCAAACAGGAATATGAATTGTGTGGTTTGGAAGGGAAAAACGTGCATGTGAGCTTTGCATATCTTTCTCGGAACACTTTTATATCTTCCAGCATGTTTACATAGGATTGGTGACTGATGGGGGGGTGGGAGTGGGTGGCGGCGATCATTATGAAACACCCTGTACAGTGTATTGACTTGTATAAACTGAACATGTACAGTGAAACCCATGAAAGACACTTAATTTCATGATATTGGCAAGAAGAGGTCACTATTTTTTTTTCATTGGATCTTAGTTAAAACAAATGGTGCATCAAATGTATAGTTTACTGCATTGTTCCAAATGAAGAATCAAAGAGAATATGCCACCATTTCATTGTTGCTAAAATCAAATGTTCAATCATAATAGCTTAGTGTAGCTAACAATCAAAAGTTTTACTGTATGTACCATTTGAAAGCTATTGTAATTTTTTACTCAATAAATCTAGATAACTTACCTCTCCTCTGGAAGATGGCGCCACAGCTGAATATCGCGATTCACAGATGACATCATCAATATCCTGAAGTGGTCCAGTAGGAATACCAGGGAAAGACTTGGAACAATCATGAGCGTAGTATCGATATACTCTCCACGTTTTTCCAAAATCAAATGAACGTTCAATGACTAATGCTTTTGGTCTGAATGTTTTGAATGTCATGACAAGATGAGTAAAATGGAACTCTGCTTCTAGATTCAACTGAATATAGACGTCTTTTTTGCCGTTTTCAGCTTGCCACCATCTAGAATAAGGTTTGTGATTTGGGTCAAAATTAGACACAATATTTTGCACTCTATGACTAAGTTTTTGACTTCGAGTATTATTCCTAGAGTCACAAATAAAGCATTTTTTCCTATCTTCTAAATGACTGACTATACAGAAACGACTCCGTCTTTCTTCTCCACAAGTTGAAGATGCATAAAGACGATTCTCTCGACCAATGAGAAGATCTCCAGTTGCTGGGTAACAACTACTCTGAACACAGGGATCGTGGGATCGCTGGCTCATGGCACCTGAAAGTAGAAAAAAAAAATTAAAATAATGTCTTTTGGTTACATTATATTAAAACAACAACAAACAAACAAACAATCAATCAACAGACTAATAGAAAATGAACTCATATTTTTTAAATTTTATTCAATCAAAGCTTTAACTCATTTATACCATTTTGGATTAACAAATTATAAATGACAAACGAGAATGGCAAAAATATAATATTCAAAAAGATGGGATTATAAGATAAAATAGATAATCAAAATATTCTGGAGGAGTATTGATGGATGACATTTTGACTTGGTAAATGAAAACTACAATTTACAACATGTGCAGTTATTGTTTATCCAAGGATCAGTATCAGGGATCAGAAAGGTGAAATGATTAAGGTAGGACTGAGAAACCACATCCGAAAATATGTATTTATGTTACAACCTGCAATCTAGACACAACATAACCTTTGATCTTTTCAGACCACAACATATACCTGAATAGCACCTAATATATATACCTGGGCTCTACCTGTAATATAACTTATAGCCAAAACCTGAAGTTGGGTGATCAACATTGGTTACTTTTATATCTATTTTTGATCTTGTGCCATTTAAATTATACGAAAAACCGCAAACTATATAGGTGTATCCCTTATGTATAATTATATGATGCTTCTCAATGTGCCAACTGTGTTAAATTGCTAACTTGGCACTAGCCATAATATACTTTTAATATTATTTGTCACTTTCAATATAGACGATTTATCCCTCAATTTGACAAACTGAATACTGAATTCAAGAAGAATTTTTCAGTTAGATTGACATTTCTAAGCAATTCAATATGAATCTATAGCATATTGCAAAATAAATTATATACTTGTCAGAATCAATAAATAACATTTATTTAAGAAAATAGTTTGTTGCTGAAATGTTACCCTTTGTACTCCTCGACCATTGATATTTCAAAAGGGGGCACTGCAAGCATGTATAGAGAGTTTGTGTATTAAAGGAAATACTGCCCATGATTAAACACAGACCAACACTTGCTGACCAGAATCCACCTTGGAATGCTACATGAGGAAATACAACACCAATCACATCTAAATCCTATAGTATATTTACAAACAAATCTCCATTGATAAATAAACCAACATAATAATGAATACACAAACATTTCCCTAGTCCCTAGGTTAATGGGAATTCACCCTAAAAATCCCAATTCTTAAATTGTTTGAAGGTGGGCTATCTTTTGTTTATTTTCATCATGTTCGCCCAACATGTTCTAATTACTTTGCAATGACCCTAGGTGGGATACCTGGCTACTATTAACTATCACAATGTCCAAAAAGACCAGAGAAAGGGACTAGAGGGGAAGTTGAAGGACAGGAAGTTTTTTAGCATTAAAATAGATTACCAATCATAGAAAGGCGAAATGGGGGCCCTTTAAAAAGTGTTATACCGATCACCACCATTGGAAAGCATATCTATTAGTACATTAACCCAGGCTATCATATCACCATCAGCAGCAAGTCTGTTAATTACAGGAATTAACCACTCAATTAGTGAGCAAATGTAATCAATCTATCATTGTGTCTGGGCCCTCCAAGGCCAGTCAGTATACATATACACATCAACAACATTTGATGTTTAATTCGACGGGTTGAGGGAGAAATGAATAAATCCAGGAATAGATGTATTAATGTGAGGAGATATCACAATTTCATCCACCAATTCTTCGAATGTATCTTTGATTTTCAGAATCATACATGAACAAGAACACACTCCATTTACTTATGAGATTTTGATGAGTATGATATCAGTACCATGACTCAATCATTCTCTTTTTCAAAATACTCCAAAACAAAACTGAAAACTGAAACCTCGAACAGACAATGAATATAAAAGTAACAAGTAAGTGAATTGATTTTATAGGCACATACATATCCTTTATATATCTTATCTTGTTTCAAAGTATCAAGAGCTCTTTATAGACATTCTTTAATGACATCTTAACAGATAAAAAGCCATGGTCATGTGGTCAATAAAACTGTCTAACAAAAAACAGTTATAGTATAACTAAGCAGGCATAAAGTTATTTGTCAAACTTACATCCCAAAAATATATGTTAAATAAAATGTACCAATTTTTGAATATCCTTAAACCACCCGTTTCATATTTTTATTGACATAAATCAAAGAAATAAAACTTATTCAACATAATGAATTCTGAATTCTGCTCAGCCTCTTAATAGATTCCATTAATAAATTGCTTATATGTTATTCAAATTGCCGTACTTGCTTTTTCATGAGTTTTAACATGTATATCTATTTGTGGTTTTGTGTTTTTATTCCTACCTTACTTTTCTTTTTTTATAGAATGCAAAAAATGTGACATTATGAAGTACTTAAACACAGAGAGGGAGAACACACTTGTAACTATACTTCAAATAAAACTTTTTTGGCTAACTAGATTAAAGATCACTCCATATGTGTTGAAAGTTACTTTTTAGGTTAAATGGAATACAAACATTGGAATATGCTACCTAAACATATACTTCAAGTTTGCAGAGACATATTTTGGAACAATCTATCTGGACTTTTCAAAACAAAGAATATTGTTATACGCCAAAACTAGATCTCTCTCTAACAGCAGGATGATATTATACTGTATGAATATGTTTCTTTATTTGGACCTTAATGCCTTGGTCACATTTGCTCCAACTTTCTCTACGGTGCCCGGCCGATTGAGTATTTTGTTCAAAATTGAATACAATATTGGACAAAACACTCTATCAGGCGGGCGCGGGCCGATGGATCGGAGCAAATGTTGCCAAGGTGTATGCGATCATACAAATACATATACCTTCCATTATGGTTTAAATTACAATATCAAAGAAGTAGATGGGTACTGCAACGTATGGTTAAGGTGTCTCTCAATTAAGGTGGTTCAATGCATCACTGTATATGTACAGCTCATAAATATTATATAATGTTTTAATATCAATAAACACTTTAAACAGTCCCTACCACCAAATTGACTACTATTTAAGATAGGTATCTTATATTTTCTATATCAGTGCCAATCAGATAACTGTTCTCCATCATGTCAATAATGATAACATACTGTAATTTGATTGTGTGACATTAAGTAACACCTGTTACAGCGAACATGCCCAGCTTGTGTCAAGTATAACAAGACCAGTTGGTCAAAATCACATGCAAATGACCATAGTGCTACTTATATACACTGTACAGTTAAACCTGTATATCAGCACACCTCTCTAATCTGAACACCCCTTAATATGAACACCTCTCCTTATTCCCAAAGTTTTGTCCTATTGACCCACATATTTGAAGAATGAACACCTACTTATCTGAACACTCCAAAATTCAGTGCTGTTAGGATTAGACAAGTTTTACTATACTAATAAAACTCTCATCTCTATCATCAAAGCTAACCTTGTAGCTACCATGAGACAAGCATATAATTTGGGCCCTACTGAAGATGATATATGACTGGTATCCATACAGTCTAATACATATATTGACAACATATTAACATGAATTAAGAAAACAATTGGGTGTTGAGAAAATGTATACCTGTAATGAATTAATTTAGGTTCATCAGAGGATTAATCAGCTCTTCCAGTATAGGAAAATGATACTAAAATCAGTTCTTGGTATAAATTGAGAAATGGGAAAACAAACAAACACAGATATTGATATTGAAATATAAGAAATACGAAACTTTGGAAAAATATGGCATCTTGAATCCATAGGGGATTAATTAAAGAGTACAATGTTTAAGCCAAATTTTTCAAAGTGTCCTAATTTCTGCTATATGATGTAAATCTGGTACTACAGTTTGAAAGTTTTGTCCTATTAGTCATAAACACAATGCTCTTTGCACAAGAGTTATATTTCCCAACCCTCTACCCCGAACCTGAACGGTGAATGAGAATTTGCCACTGGAACAATGGTAAACTAGTACAGGAATATAGGCTACTTCAACACCAATTGTAAATTGAACATATCATTTATTAGGTGACTCTTCCTTTCTGATACTATAGTCTACTAATGAAAACAAAGATAACCAGTTTCGCAAAATGACTTATACCAGTATGTGCCATAAAGATTGTTTGAAACAACTTTTTGTGATAAGTACCATAGACCCATTGCTACTGGAACTTCATACCCATATTTAGACTAGACTAGTGTGAAGTTTATAAACAGTTAATGGATAGAACTTGAAAATGAATGTTAGTTTGTACTCAATACCATAGCATAGTTGATGATAATCTAATTAAACCTGTTTTTCAATAAGCTTTAGTGGTCTGTCTTTAAGATCAAGTTTATCTTCTTTTAAGTCTGAAAATAATTCGGATCTTGCCACATTGATGCAGATGGTATCACCACATCTATAGTCTTACTTGGTTTTTAAGATGCCACAAGATAAATCCAAACCCTTTGGTCTAATGTAACAAAGACGCTGATTCCTTTCGGACATATTTGGTAAGATTACCTTATTTAAACACCAGTTGGCTGAGGAAATAGATAGAGAGATGACACAAGATATTCTATAACAAAGAGGCCGATGGTAGAAATTTGTAGCCCTCTTTTTGAGATATCAAACATCCGCAAATAGCAGACACAATACCAACGATCGCTGAGATCTTGGAAACACAATGACCTCCAAATTTATTTTCAAAGCTTGTGATGAAGTAAATGTTATGGTGTTATATACAGGAAGTTGAGAAGTTTACAATAATGCAATCTAAGAGAAACTGATATTGATTAACTTAAGCTAAGTTTCAGGAAAACAAGTTTTCTATTTATGTTAGTATAATTATGACTCCTGTGGTTTTACTTGACATAATTTCCCTATGACCTAATGATCTCTGATAAAGACCTACTTAGGGGAAGGTAAACCTCAGGACTAGAAAAATGTATCTTTTTATTTTCTACTTCAGTATATATGTTTAGTAGTTTACCTATCTCTAGTATCAGAGACGAGTGCTTAAAATGCAG